TATTATTATTATTATTATTATTATTATTATTATTATTATTATTATTACAGGCAGCATGGTGGCGTAACTGGTAGAGCTGCTGCTTCTCAGCGAGCAGGTCCCCGGTTCAAATCCCGGTCGGGGAGCCTTTCTGAGTGGAGTTTGCATGTTCTCTCCGTGCATGCGTGAGTTTTCTCCGGGTACTCCAGTTTCCTCCCACAGACCAAAAACATGCATGTTAGGCTGATTGGTAACTCTAAATTGTCCCTAGGGGTGACTGAGAGAGTGTCTTGTTTGTCTCTATGTGTCCCTGTGATGGACAGGAGACCTGTCCAGGGTGCACCTCGCCCCTCACACAATCATTGCTGGACATGGGCACTGGCGACCCCCGTGACCCAAAATGGAAGAAGTGGTTAAAAGATAATGGATTATTACTATTATTATTATTATTATTATTATTATCATTATACATAAATATTATATAATATTTAAGAATAAGAATACAGTATTCGGTGTAATGGGTCTGTGATTTGTTTGAAAAATAAATACACACAGTTGACTTGATTTTAAAATATAACACCTTCAATTACAAAAAAACAAAATAAAAATTCATAATGTTTTTAAACACCGAGTCACAGCTGAACGAAGCCTAGATTTACGAGCCGGACTTGAAAGCGTCACCAACAAAAACAAGGCTTTGTGTTTGCGCATGCTCAGTGAGGTATATAACTCAGGCGGACAGTTTAGAAAGGTGACAACAACAATGTCTGAGTTCAGTGTTTAAAAACAAAGTACAACCAGCGACTTTTTACCGTGTGACGCTTTTACTGAAGCCGCTGTGACGAAGTGGACCGCTAATATTTTATCTACTTAGGCTGTTGTTTATGCTACGAACGGAGTTGTAACTTTTTGTGCCCACATAAACTTGATGTCGTCGACAATAATAATGTAAATGTTTACCATTGTTGAGCGTGAAGGCAGCGGTTTTCTCCTGTGAAATGGGACTTGTCGGTGTGGAGTGTGGTCCAGTCGAAGCTGTTCAGACACTGCTGTGATATTTTAAACTTTAAAACCTCAGGATGGAGTCTGTTGGGAAGTTTGAGTTCAACAGGAAGAACTTGATTGGCCACGGTGCCTTTGCAATTGTGTTCAAAGGCAGACATAAAGAGGTAAGCTTGCACATTTGGATCTGTCTCATCATTGTTTACATGTTTTGGGTTGATTCTTTTGTTTCTGACATTACAAGAAACGTGACTGGGAAGTTGCTATAAAGTGTATCAACAAGAAAAACTTGGCCAAGTCGCAGTCTTTGCTTGGGAAGGAAATCAAAATATTAAAGGTAATGTCTTGTTTCTATGTTGCCATGTTTTCCTGATCAGTCGTGCACTGCACCTCTTAACAAAAACGTGTTGCACTCTACTTCCAGGAACTCAAACATGACAACATTGTTCGATTACTTGACTACCAGGTACGGATTTCTGTTTTCCTATAATCTCACGTGCATCTCTTGAGACATTTCAGCACCTTCTGATAAACACACAGATACATGTCTGCTGCCAGATGATGCAACTGTTGTGGAAACAGCATCAGATGTTCATGTGACCATCTCTGACCTGAGCTGAAACATCCACTTGTTTTTACATGGATCAGTCTTAAAAGATTCATTCTTTTTACTATTATGGCTAATGTACAAATCCTATTGTTGATATCCTGTGAGGAGTCACTGCCACAGCCTGCACGTCTTTTAAACCTGGCACAAATCACACGACACTAACCATCTGCTCGACGTAAGTGACCTATCGACAGTTGGCACTGCTGAGCTGATCTCTCATTATGTCTGGCAGATGGAAGAGCTCAGCAGGTTAAACAATGGCAGATAAAACAGAGCGCCGAGTATCGTAGCGACACACTGACACATGAGCCCAACAACAAGGCTGCATATGTTCTGAGGGTCTCTCTGCGTTCATTTTCCTCCTCTTAGCACATATAACTGGTGTCGTTAAGCTCTTGCACAGGTAGTAAACACATCAGATTATATACACAGAGCTTTTTAGTTTAACTTGGTTAGGCAACATTTTTTCCGTCAGGTGGGAAAGACACCCTAAACGTCTCACGCTTTTACCTCACACCATCTCACCTCGCGGCTCTGTGAATATTTTTAACAAGGAGTGCTGGATTTAGAAAGTGTCCTGGGTGGGATCAAGGAGCCCAGAGCTGGGCGGGGATCTGGATCCAGTTTCAGGTTCCCAAATTCACTGTCATGCGGGTGAGAATTTCAAGAAGCTGTTGAGCAAACAGTGGCTCTAATACGTGAGGTGTTGTCACTGTTGGTGCAGCTGTTGATACACTGGTGGATGATTTTGTCTCATTCCAACATGAATAAAACATGACGTAATCGTTTAGACATTTACGCATCTGTCTACTCATTTATCAGAACAGTTATCTAATAAATATTACTCAGTGTGACAGTGTTGCACAGCGTCATGTTGATGGTTTGGGTTTTATGTGTTTGTTTTCAATAGGAGATGGGCGGATCTGTGTATCTCGTAATGGAGGTGAGTTGTCCAGGAGGTGCTCCAGACTTGTCTGCCTTCGTACTGAAAGTGCTGATCATCTCTAATGAAAATAATTATGTTAAGAATTCTGTTAAGACTTGTTTTTCCTGTTTTTTTTTTTTTTTTCAGTACTGCAACGGAGGCGACCTGTCTGAGTATCTCCACTGTAAGTCATCTGCAAAAAATATGCTGGATATTTTGCTGTCATCCTTTTTATATTCAGAGAAACAGCATAAAGACACGAGCATCGCTGTCGTGTCAGTGGGTCGGTGTGCCTCGGATTTTACAGTGTTTTGAAACCTAATAGGGTTTTAGCAGGTTTCTATCAACTTAACTTCTACTTAACCCAGGAAAAATTCAACCTTACAGCCCAGGTTTGGTAAAAAAAAACAACTTCCAGCTTTTATGTTTATCGGCAAAATCCTGTGGTCTCACTCAGAGTCTTTTCTCAGCAGGAAAACTTCTCCTAGCTCATGTTTGTAAACTATATTTTAACAATGCATTAGTCTTGTGGAGTTAATTATTCTCAGGCTGCATTTATTTTCTATGTATTGATTTGTATATTTAGGTACTGATGTGGGCCCTTGGTCTAATTCTGCCAAAGTGACACTAATTTCTAAGTCCCTACAAAGCAGACACATAAAACTATTTGCAGCACGGTGCTTGATCACATTTAGCAGGTTAACGAAGCACCCGCATGACCTCACCCATCTGTCGCTCACTTATCCCTTGTGCTCTCATAGAACAACAGAGCAGCTAGAAATACAGATATACTGGGATGACTACAACTGGTCTCAAATATCGTATGGCTTTAAGTTTCATTTCCAAACAAAGTTAATGTATTTTTAATATGCAGATTTATAAGCCTGGACACAGTTCTGCTGACTTTCTCTTGTTGCAGCCTCAAATAGGTCATTTTATCCCTTTCTCCAACAGCCAAGGGTGCACTGAGTGAGGACACCATCCGTGCATTCCTACAGCAAATTGCCCAGGCCATGAAGGTCCTGCAGAGTAAAGGCATCCTCCACAGAGACCTCAAACCCCAGAACATTTTACTCTGCCACCCAGAGGGGCGCAGGTCCAGTTCCATCAACACTAGCATTAAAATAGGTAATAGCTTTAATCTGCATCATCAGTCTAGAAAAGTTGTGTAAAAGATTTTGTTTGCTTGGAACTCAGTGTGTACGTCCATCTCTTTATTTCCTTAAATCTTCAGCTGATTTTGGGTTTGCGCGGCACCTCCAGACAAACACCATGGCTGCCACACTGTGTGGCTCTCCCATGTACATGGTAAGACTGGTTTTCTGTGTGAACTGGTTCTGATGTCACTGTGCTTCTAAGATGTGAGCTTTGCTTGTTTGAACACAGGCTCCTGAGGTCATCATGTCTCAGAACTATGACGCCAAGGCTGATCTGTGGAGCATAGGTACTATTGTGTACCAGTGTCTGACTGGAAAAGCCCCTTTTCATGTGAGTGAAACCTCAAAAAGAATACACAAATACTAAAAAAAAACAAGACGTTTGGTGATGCACATATAGAAATTTGTTATTTTAATAGCAAATGCTCTTGACAAGATTAATTCAGTTTATTTATATAGCGCCAAGTCACAACAGAAGTCGTCTCAGGGAACTGAACAGAAACATTCATATATAAAAATAATCAGTTAACTTTATTTATCTAAGAAGCAGACGGCTTTGAATTTAACCATCGCAGACTCTCATCTTGAGCAAGCATGAAGGTGACAGTGGAGGAAGAAACTTTTAGCAGAACCAGGTTCAGGACAAGCGGCCATCTGCTTCGACCGGCTGGGTTTGAGAGGAACAGATACACAATGGCAGTTCAAGAATCACATGTTAAGATAGAAATAGTATCAAATGAAAACTATTCTATTTTAACAATTCATTTTAAGAAGTTAGGTCAATTTGTCCTCTAGTAGTGTAAGTAGATCTTAAATATAAGATGGAGCTAGGTTGGTAGATTTTGATTCAATTCTGGATTTGACAGGGAGCCAATAGAGAGAAGCTAAAACTGGAGAGATATGATCTCTCCCACTAACTCCAGTTAAGACTCTGGCAGCAGCATTTTGGATTAATGGAAGACTTTTTAAAGAAGTATTTGGACACTCAGATAACAAACCATTGCAATAGTCCAGTGTAGATGTGATAAATGCATGAACCAGTTTCTCTGCATAATTTTTGGATAAGATGTTACAAGATGTTACAAATGTGCTTTGTTTGTTTTAGTCCCTGGAAAAGTCCAACTAACTACTGTAGAACCTGCATCCAGTTTTACAACAGAGAGCAACAACTTGATCCACAACACAGCCATTAAAAACCACCTGTCTGTGGAATGACGCTCGTCTTGAGTGTTGTTAGCTGGAAAATGCAGGAACAGCTCGACTGCTGTTAGAAATGAACCTTGTTTACAGAGGAGGGCATGAGGAAATGGCTGCAAGCCATTTCTCTGAATCCAGAGTAAACAGTGTTTCACAACCCTCACTGTTACTTTCTACTGTTCACGTGGCTGCTCCAAGGACATGTTTGAACTGTTGTTTTCAAAGACAAACTCCTAAAGTTTTATCTCCCTCTATATCTTTTTTCGATGGTGGATTTCCATGGGTCAGAACCCCCTTTTTTTATCCTGTGTGTTTGTAGTATAAAGAGTAATTTGATTGATTTATGTTGCTTTTTATGTTCATTTCTGAGAAAGACTAAGAAGATTGTTCTCTAGCCTCGCAGGTCAATGGGTTTCTGCTTCTGCTGCTGTTTATATGGCAACTTTAGCTGATGTGCTTATCATTAAACACCCACATGATGTCTTCATTTGTAGTATTAGGATTTTTATATAATTCAAGTAAAAAAAAAAAACTTGTTTGGAAAGGTTATCTGTATTCATTCTTGTAAGTTTTGATGTCTATGTGTCAAAGAACTGAAGTGGGACAAAACATTTTTAGACCAAT